CAGTCCTCAGGACACAAGATCCATTCTTGGCTATCTCATCGAGGCACCCACTTCCTCTCCCTCCAGGGCGGCCCCTCTTCTTTCCTGTCCTTGGGGCCAGCACACTGGCACATGTGCCCAGGTCTTCCTGCCTTGCCTCCCGCTGGTCCAACTACCAGCAGCTCCACCCCAAACCCTGTCCACTTCTGAATCCTCTTGCAAGGCTCACACTGGGCATGAGCTCTGCCTACAACCTCTCTCATTTTCCCTTCTTCCTCTTCAGGTCAAAGTAGCCCTTCCTTCTCCATGTACCCTCCACCTAATTCTCTTGCAGGCCTTGTAATACTTCACGGTAGTCAGTGCGTTATCTCCCTCACTCCACCAAGTCCTCAGTGCCCAGCCTAGGGCCGGGCATGTAGACCAGGAGATGCAAACTGGAGCCTCCTGGGCTAGACTTAGCTGGATGCCTGTGTTTTTATTCAATCTGCATGGTATTGACTATAATGTAAAATAGCTACCAATAATAAAATAGAGAAAATTTCTCATGAGAAAAGAAAACTAAAATGCCAGCTTCTTTTGAGAAGTGGGAGGGTTTGGTTATCTGAGGTCTTTATTTCCACCTAGTCACAGTTTTCTGGAGCTGGACCTGTGCCTGTCTGTTTAGACAGGAAGTGCAGTGACACCTGGTCTCGCCTGTTCACTAGTGCATCAGCAGTGGCTGTGTTTGCACTGTAGCACTGGAGCTCAGTAGTTGTAACAGACTTCGGGTGGCCCTGGACATTTGCTACTTGAGACTGGCATTAGTTTCCTGTGGCTGCTGTAACAAACTAGCACAGAACAGGTGGTTTGAAACAATGTAACTGTTCCCTCCCAATATAGCTGTCAGAAGTTCAAAATCAGTTTCTCTGGGCTGAAATGGAGGTGCTGGAAAGCCCACACTCCTTGGGGGAGGCTGGAGAGGAATCTCAATCTCGCCTCTACCTTTTTCTGGTGGCTGCCAGCATTCCTGGACGTAGGGCCGCAGCCACCCCATCTCTTGTGGTCAGATTGCCTTATCCTTTTCTGTCAAAGTTCTCCCTCTCAGGGCCAGCACTGTGGCATGATGGATAAAGCCGCTGCCTGTGATGCCGGCATCCCATATGGGCAGCCGGTTTGTGTCCCAGCTGCCCCACTTCCAATCCAGCTCCCTGCTAATGGCCTGGGAAAAGCAGCAGCAGATGGCCCAAGTGTCTGAGCCCCTGCATCCACATGGCTCCTGGCGTTAGCCTGGCCCAACACTGGCCATTACAGCCATCTGGGAGTGAACCAGTGGATGAAGCTCTGTCAATAAATAAATACATAATGTTTTAGGCCGGCGCCGTGGCTCAATAGGCTAATCCTCCACCTTGCGGCGCCGGCACACCGGGTTCTAGTCCCGGTTGGGGCGCCGGATTCTGTCCCGGTTGCCCCTCTTCCAGGCCAGCTCTCTGCTATGGCCAGGGAGTGCAGTGGAGGATGGCCCAGGTGCTTGGGCCCTGCACCCCATGGGAGACCAGGAAAAAGCACCTGGCTCCTGGCTCCTGCCAGGATCAGCGCGGTGCGCCGGCTGCAGCGGCGGCCATTGGAGGGTGAACCAACGGCAAAGGAAGACCTTTCTCTCTCTGTCTCTCTCTCTCACTGTCCACTCTGCCTGTCAAAGCCATGTAAGAAGAAAAACACATAATGTTTTAAAAAATTAAAATCTCCCTCTGCTTGCCTTTTATTAAAGACTTATTTCAAAGGCAAAATGAGAGAGAGAGGGAGACACACATATACATAGAGAGATCTCCCATCCGCTGATTCACAACCCAGAGGGCCTCAACAGCCAGGGCTGGGCCACCAAAGTCACGAGCCAGGAACTCCATCCAGGTCTCCCAAGCACGAGGGCCATCATCCATGGCCTTCCCAGACACAGTAGCAGGGAGCTGGCTCAGAAGCGTCTGGACTCAAATTGGTGCTCCGATATGGGAGACGGTGGCCTTGTAGGTGGTGGCTTAAGCTGCTTTACCACAATGCCAGCCCCTGTCGACCTCTTATAAAGCCGCACGTGACTGCATTTGGAGCCCAGCCAGATGGTTCAGGAAAATCTGCCCATCTCAAAGTCTTTACCTTGACCTTTTTTTTTTTTTTTTTGCAAAGGTCCTTTTCTCAAATAAGGTGACACTGATAGGTTTTTGAGGATTAAGATGTGGGTCTTTGTGGGGTGTGTGTGGCATTTTTCAGCCTATCACATGGCCCTTCAGACAAAGGCCTTGCGAGCCCCCCTTCTAGAAGGACAGGGAAGTGACGCCCAGGCTGGACCACAACCCACCCTTCTAGATGCCTTGGTGCTCACTCTGTGTTCCCACCTGACCCGCACTCGGGGTCCCTCTTTGTTGACCGCTTTCCAGGACTGCTTTTGTCCCCCTGGTCCCCGACTCCTTCTCCTGCAATAAAATAACAAGATAACGCCAACTTCTGCAATGTTTCTGGACCTCCTGGTCTGGCTTTTACCACCCCGCGGCCCAGCGCTGTCCTCGCGGACAGGAAGAAAAGAGAGAATGTTTGCGGAGAGAAGGGCTGCTTTCCAACGTGAAAGCCGCTCCTCACCTTCCTTTTCAGGCCTGACGGACTTTCCAGATGTCCTGGGAGGGCCCTGCTCCATCCTCTCTGGGCTATTTTATCCCAGCCTCGCACAACCAGCCAACCAGCCTTCCCAACTGAGCTGCTGCACTTCCCCAACCTTCCTGCAGACCTGCCCCCTGAGAAATGCATTCTCCACACCCTTGTGTGAGCTAGGAAACAGAGACCTGTGTTCAAGTCCAGTGCAGGAATGCGGGGCTGAGGGACCCCTTGCGCTGGGGGTGAATTGGTAGCGCACAGGCTCATGGGCCATCTCTGTGTGGGCTGGGTATCCTTTCACTCAGCCCCCAAGCTTGGCAATGAACCAGGGATACTGTTCGCCCTCTGGGGGTGTGTCTGAAAGGGGCCATCTTCTGCACTGAACAGGGACAACCACGTTCTCGGGGACCTGTGTGTTGTGTGACCCTCTCCAGGGATGGAGTAGGCAGATGTTATCTACCGCTTATGAGAGGGGAACTGAGACTCAGAGAGGTCAAGTAACTGGCCAGATGTCACACAGCCAGGAGGCAGCAGACCTGGTCCTGCAGCCCATTCCCCAGCCGGGAATGTTTCCACCAACTGCGGCAGGTCCACTGTGCAGCAGAGGCTATGTGGAGAGCACAGACAGCCTGGCCCGGAGGTAGGGGCTGCCTCCGGTGCCCCCATCACCAGCTCTGCAGGTGAACTTTTTCTCTCTGGTGGCACTCAGTCTTCAGAAGTCCAACATCCGTATGGTGGGCAAGTTGAGAGGGTCGGGCTGGGCACAGAGCATAGTGATCATAACCAACAGCTATCTGAGTCCTTGTTATGTGTCTGCACTGTTCCATGAGCCACATGGACATTAACTCCTGTAACCCTCACGGCATCCTGGTAAGGCTGGTGTTCTGTGGTCATCACCTTACAGAGGACAAAAACTGAGAGCCTTGTTCGAAAGCCATGCACCCATTAGTGGGGAACCTGGAGTTCCAGGAACAAGGAGCTGCTGTACTACATGCAGATGGGTGAGAGGGGGCCTCGCTGATGGGGCAGAGAGCAAAGGCAAAGAGAGCCATGCGGGATTCGGGGGGAAGAGTTTGCAGACCAAGGGGAGATCAACCACAAAAGGTCAGAGATGCTGGAGGTGGAGAGGGTGAGACCACCGAGGACCCTGCAGCCCAGGGTAAGGAGTTCGGCTGTTATTCAGAGTGAGCGGGAAGCCACTGCCGGGCTCTGAGGAGGAGTTGTGACTGACTGACGCCGGAGAGCATCAGTTGTCTGCGGGGAGCAGAAGAGACTGGTGGGGGCTCCAGGGCAGAAGCAGAGCAGATGGCAGCCTTCTGTGGTGATGGGGACTTGGAGCACTGGTCAGCAGCAGGCATGGCCAAGTGTGGTCAACGCTGCTTATCTTGAAGGTGTGCTTGGCAGAATGTGCCAAGGGGCTGGATGTGAAGAAACGGAAGTCAAGGGCGACCTTAAGGCTTTGGCGGTGATCCAATCAGAGGAGTTTCCACTGGGCGAGACGGCAGAGTCCACAGGTTGAGCAGTCAGAGAAAAGAAGTCAAGTGGTGCTTACGTATTCAACTAGCAGAGCCTGGTGGGAACCCAAGCAGGGATGCTGAAGAGGTGGCTGAGCCTGTCTAAACTTGGCAGCTGTCAGCACACAGATATTGGAAGTCATGAGACTGAATGAGTCCACCGCGCGAGGAAGGGCAGGTGGGAGAAGCTACACCTGGAGCACTCCAGTGTTCAGAGGACAGGAAGACAAGCAGGCATCCTCAAAGGTGACTGAGCGAGCAGCCGGTGAGAACTGAGAGAATGTTCCAGAAACCGAGCAAGGACAGTGGTTCAAGTAAGTGGAATGATTGGCTAGGCCAAATGAAGCTTCTTTTTTTTTTTAAAGATGTATTTATTTATTTGAAACTCAGAGTTATATAAAGAGAGAAAGAGAGGCAGAGAGAGAGAGAGAGAGGTTTTCCATCCAGTGGTTCACTCCCCATCTGGCTACAATGGCCAGAGCTGGGCTGATCCGAAGCCAGGAGCCAGGAGCTTCCTCTGGGTCTTCCCATGTAGGTGCAGATGCCCAAGGACTTGGGCCGTCTTCTACTGCTTTCCCAGGCTATAGCAGAAAGTTGGATCAGAAGTGGAGCAGCGGGGTCTCGAAACGGAACCCATATGGGATGGTGGCACTGCAGGCAGCAGCTTTACCTGCTGCGCCACAGCACTGGCCCCTAAATGAAGCTTCTTAGTAAAGTAAAGTGAGGTCTGAAATTTGGCCATTATGTTTAACAACATGGAAGCCACTGATGACCATGCCAAGTCAAGGGGTGGGGGTGAATTTAAAAGAAAAGAAAGCCCAGAAGTATAGGCTTTTTGCTACAAAGAGGATATTAAAGCATGGGTAGTAACTGGTGACAAAAACAAGGTCAACAGAAGGCTTTTATTAAGTAGAGATTACAATGGCATGTTTCAGTATTGGAAATGACTCACAGAGAAAGCAAAGAGGATGCAGGATATGAGAGAGATGCTGTTGGCACAACATCCGAGAATTGGAGAGTGTGATGTCTACAGCACCTTGAGCAGGAGCGCAGGATTCATCCCGGGACCGAGAGAGAAGGCAGCGTATGGGGGGGGGGGGGGTCGGCACCACAAGGAGGGTGGATATGGTGGTTGGCCGTTCTCTTCTGACCACATCTGATGTTTTCAAGGACAGCATCAACCTCATCACCAGGGAGGGTCTACAGATGGAGGATCTATGAGCCACATGGGAGGACAGGATGCAGAGCTGAACAGCTGCCTGGAGTGGGAGAGTGAATGTGAGAGGCCAGGATGGTGGGACACTCCAGTAGTCCTGAGTCACCCAGCTGATGGTCACATTCTTCTCCAGTCATGTTGTGATGTAGTGCAGTTTGATCACCTTTGCGTCTGAGAAAAAAAAGACACAGAGTGACATTTGTAGTAGCAAAGCAATTCTGAGCACGTGTTTGAAGTGCCCGTGGGATACGGCTTTCAGGCGGCTGGAAGGCGGCTGATTACATATGTGGTCTTGGATAAAGGTAGACTCGTCAGAAATGAGCTGGTACTTGAATGTGAGAACCAGGTGAGGGTTCTAAGGAGAGAAGAAAAAAGTAAAGAGAGTTGGGCATAAGCTTAGGAAACATCCTTAGTTAAGGGGTAGAGAGAAGGCGGCAGAGAAAGGAGCTAAAAATAGGGATGAAGCAAGTTTTTTCCTGAGCCTAGAAATGAGATAGTTCAAAGTAAAGGAGTATAAAAGCATTCAAGGAAGCCAAGGGGCCAGCATTGTGGCGAAGTGGGTTAGGATATGCCTATGATGCCAGTATCCCATATGGGCATCCCAGCAGCTCCGCGTGTATCCCCCTGTTTATGTGCTTGGGAGAGCAGCAGAGAATGGCCCAAGTGCCTGGACCCCTGCCACCCATGTGGGAGACACAGATAAAGCCCCTGGCTTCGGTCTGGCTCAGGCCTGAGTATTGCAGCCATTTGGGGAGTGCGCCAGCAGATGGAAGATCTCTCTCTCTCTCTGTCTCTGCTTCTCTCTCTATAGCTCCACCTTTCAAATAAATAAATACATCTTATTTTTTTTTTAAAAAAGGAATCCAAGAACAAGGAGAAAAATAGGTGAGTTTTCCCAGAAGGAAGCTAGGGCTAAATAATCTCAGAGCATTTAGCCAAAATGCAAAGAAAAGAAATTCATGAGCAAAAAGATAAGGGTAATGAAGTAACAGGCCCAAGAGAAATTATTGTGTACAATAAGATGAGCTCTACATTCAATGTGCTCTCTTTATAGTAGCATTACATTAACATAAGAGGTATAAAAAACACTAATATGAGCTTTTGAAGGAAAAAAGGGTTGATTGAAAGAGAAATGATACTTAAAAGACATAATGGAAGACAATGTTCCTGAACTGAAAAAAAAATCTGAATCATCAGATCAAAAGGATGGCCTAAGTCCTAGAAAAATTAACAGTAAATTCAAGACAAATCTGATCATGATTCTGACTGCTAAAGAGAACATCTTACACATTTTCAGAAAAAGACAGATTACAGTGTACTTACAAAGGAAAGAGGAGAATGGCACCAGATTAGTCATCTGCAACACTGCAAGTTCAGAGACAGTGGAACAATGTTTGCAGACTAATGAAAGAACTGCATTAGGTCCAGGATGACTTTACCCAGCCATGATAACATTCATATTAGGAGGACTCCACGGTACTCAAAGAATACCATCCATGTAACCCTTCCAAGAAAATTATTTAAGGAAGTACTCCAGTCAAATGAAAATTTAATCAAAGCAAAGATCTCAAAATGAGGGAAGACAAAGCACATAAGTAACTCTGCTTCTGTGTGTGTGTGTGTGTAATCACCAACAATTCCTTGAGAGAGTAATCCAGGAAAAGCAATAGGAGCAGAAACTAGATTGTAGGAAAAATAAAAGCAGTAACTAAAGAATAGTCCTTCAATAAATGTGGGGATAAAGCAAGAAGAGATCACTCAGGGATCAAAAGAATATTTGACTTTATTTACAAAAGCAAAATCCAAGCAAGCTTGTAGGCAAAGGAAAAGGAATCATGATTACAGGGTGCACAAATAACAGATGTGACTCTCTGATACACCTTTGATCAATGCCAAAAACTTGACAATAGGGTTCTTTCTATTCCTTAAGTTACAAGCCTTCAACTAGCTTGGATTTGGGGGGCAGAGGTAAAGAGAAAGAGAAAGAGAGAGTGAGAGAGAGCGAGAGAGAGAGAAGGAGAGAGTCAGGAAGAGAGGAAAAAGATGAGAGGCAGGGGAGAGGTGAAAAAAAAATCTATATGGATAACCAACCATCTATGAGAATTACACACACTGCACATGTGTCTTTATATATAGTAGATTTCATTTTGGAATCTGAGAGTATATTCTAGTCAGTGCACAGACAGCTGGGATATGTTACTACTACCCATCACTACACAATCAGAGTAAATTTTTGAAGGCGGTTACAAAGGACTGATACTTTTTCAAGAAAGGATGAGTTAAGATGTATTTGGGAGGGTAGCCTGGGTGCCTGGGGGAAAGCATCAAGACGTCTGGTTCCCAGTGGCATGATGAACACACTGCAAAGCCCCATGGGGGAAGGGCCAGGAACGCAGGACAATATCAGGTAATTTCATAGGGCTGGGCATCTGGCACAGTGGCTAAGCTGCCACTTGGGACACCTGCATCCCACACTAGAGTTCTAGGTTCAATTCCCACCTGCACTCTGCATTCCATCTTCCTGCTCATGCACATCCTGGGGGGCAGCAGGTGATGTCACCACTCAAGAGCTTGGGTCCCTGCCACCTACATGTAAGACTTGGATTGAGTTCTGGGCTCCTGGCTTCGGTCTGGCCCAGCCCCCAATTGTTGCAGGCACTTGGGGAGTTAACCAGTGGATCGATCAATCGATCGATCTATCCACCTCTCCTTTTCTCTGCCTTTTCTATAAATTAAATAAATAAATGAATAAAAACTGGATGTCTTTATAAAAAACTTCATTGCATAAGGATGGGGCTTGCTGTGTGATGCAATGGGCACAGCCTTCTGAACCACAGAAATTCAAATCTTGGCTCTCATCTGCTGTAAGCCCCTGAGAAAATGATTCCACGTCTCTGAGCTTTGGGTTTCTCATCCATTGAAACAACAACAGTCCTGGCTCGAGTCCCACCTACACCTGCAGTCTTCCTTCCTGCAGTTGGCCACACTGTGTACCTTCCCCCAGTCTCCATTCTCCTATCTCCCTCTGGAGCAGAAACGCTAGAAAACCACACTCAGCCATCTGGACAAGGAGCCAAAGCAGGACACTTACTGCGTGGAGCTGCCTGGGTTTTCAGGATGGCTCCCTGTAGATTCTTGTCTCAGTCTGGTTCCTTGGGCCTCCACACAGCCTGTGTTTGAGGCCTGCACTCCAGTCACTTGGAAACAGGATCACACACTCAGTGGTATGCGAGCCTTCTACAAACACTGAGTTATGGGGGTAGGCATTTCGCATGGCAGTTGAGACGCCGTGGGGGACACCACATCCTTTACAGGAGTGCTTGGCTTCGAACCTAGTTGCTCTGCTTCTGATTGAGCCTCCTACAAGGCACCACCGTGAGAGGCAGCGGTGATGGCTCAAGTGCCTGGGTCACTGCCACCCACTTAGGAGATCCAAAGTGAGTTCCCGGCTCCTGGCTTTGGCCTGGCCCAGCCCTGGCTGTTAAGGGCATCTGGGGAGTGAACCAGCAGATGGACGTTTCTCTCAGTCTCTTTCTCTGTGTCTGCCTTTCAAATAAAATGAAAGTAAATAAATATGCTTTTAAAATGGACAGCCACTCTCCGTCTCTGGGCAGAGAGGTGCACACTCTCCCTCCCCTTCCCAGAGCCTTTCCCGGGCTGCTGCCAGAACAGCCAGGCTTGGGCTCCCTGTCACGTGTCTGGCTCTCCCAAGGGGCCTCCCGGCATGTGGTGCACTCTCCTCGCCATGTGACCCTCTCCTGCTGTCACCCTCTTGTTCCTGGCCTGGGCCTGTCATTTTCTCATTATCGTCACCACCCCAGACCCAGACTTGTCCTCTGCTTTCCTGTTTCCAATTAAGTGTTGTCCCCTCAGGCCTCCCGGGCCACACTGTTCCCTGGTTACCAGAGAGGAAAATGACAGCATGCAAAGGAGGGAAAGTCCCACTGGCCAGAGGCACCCAGGGCAGGGGGGCTGCCTGCAGACTGTGCAGACCCCAGGGGCACGTGGAGTGGGTGAGTGGCCTTGGCGGTGGACACGGGGTGAGCTGTGCTTGCTTTCCACATCTTGTGCTTTCTTTTCACAGCTGCTGCTCCTTGCAGACCCCAACATTCCAGTTCCCAGAGCTAATTTTAGCTTCCTGGGACCGGCATGTTCTGCGTGACCCTCGGCCCTGCCTTGCCCCTGTGCTCTGTGTTTGTTCCTGCCCTTGGTTCACACAGCCCACACTCACACCCCCTCTTAGGGTTCCCAGCCCCACAAGCCAGCGGAGAGTCGCCGTGACCCAGGCCCGGGAAGAGTGAAGTGGCTCAAGGACCCTCAGGAAGCCAGAAACTGAATAGCGGGCTAGGGTGGAGACACGGGAGGGGATCCTGGAAGGACAGAAGAGAATGGGGATGGGGAATGGCTTCCTGCCACCGTAATAAGGAGATGGTATGTTTATGGCATCAGTCATCATGAACTCATGGTCTTCCTAGAGCTTGGGGAGCGGGGAAATTGTGGGAGGACAGACAGATGGAATACACCATTGCCTCCCACTCCCTTGTTGAGGCAGCACGTGAACTTGACCTTCTGAGGATGCTGGGTTCACATTCTCACTGTGTTCTCCAATCACCAGGTGGACATTGTACTGAATATAAAGTGCAAGAAACAGAGGTCCCCTTCCTGCCTCTCGTTCCACAGTGAGGGTCCGGAGGCTCAGAGATGTGATGTGACCAGATGTCAGTCCAGAGCCAAGGCTAAGACTAGAAACTCGGTCTCCCACCTTCCAGCCCAGGGTTCTTTCTGGCCACTGAGCTGCCTCCTCCTGCTCGTCTGCTCCATTCCCTGTGAGCTGAGCATGGGGCATGGGTTCCTCCCGCACCTGCAGCAGCTGGGCTGTTGGGTGCCTCTCTCCCAGACTTGCTTCCCCAGCACAGCCTTTGCCTGTCTCTTTCCACCTGCCGGGGAATCCCCTGCTGGGAGCCGTGAACAGTTACAGGAAACAGGGCAATTCCCTTCTGTGCCCCACCCTGGATTCTGCCAGTTCCTCGGGAAAAGCTGATTAAGAACTTTAGGGTCTTCAGGGTCAAGCCACCCGCTGGGACCCCCAGATCCCACATCACAGGGTCCAGGTTCAAGTCCCGGCTCTGCTCCTGATTCCAGCATCCTGCTAGTGTGCACCCTGGGGGGCAGCAGATGATGGCTCAGTAGGTGGGTTCCTGCCACCCATACTGAAGACCTGGATTGGGTCCCTAGCCTCTGGCTGCAGCCTAGCCCAACCCTAGCTTTTGTGGGTACTTGGGGAGTGAACCAATAGATGGGAGCGCTCTCTTTCTCTCTAATGAGTAAATAAGACTAATTTTAAAATAGCTGGCCCCTTCCCTCAAATTCTTCCCCAACTTCAGGGGCCTGTTGTCCCATACCTCATTCTGTTTCCCCAAAATCCCTTCCTTGCCCTCAGTTTTGGGTCCAGAGCTTTTGTCTCCAGGGGAGGGGAACCAAAGGTACCTGCTGGAGCAGACTGTCCCAATGGCTTCACGGGGACCTCCGAGCCTGGGGGGCCCTCCAGACATCCTGTGGATGTGCCAGGTGCCCAAGACAGCACCTACCACAAGGGGAACAGCTCAGACAGACTTCTGGATTTGAATCCAGCCTTGCCTCGGTTTCCACTTCAGCGAAATGGGAATGAACCATGCAGGTCTTTTGTGAAGAAGAAATGAGTGCAGACGATTTGTGCAAACGTAAAATTGTATCAAGCAATACTCTTCCAATTAGAGAATTTGATTAATTTACTGCATATGTTCCATATTTTTGCAAAGATTTAATGAGGTAATATATTTAAATTCATTCATTCATGCACAGTGTCTGGCTCATAGCAAGCTCTTAGTGAATGATTCTGTCTGTCTACCATTGGTGCCCTTGAGGACCATGTTATCAGCGACCCTGAGATTTAGAGAGATGGAGGCGACACGCCCTGGGTCACGCGGCCTGTTAGTGGGGAACCAGAGCAGGTCCCCGAGTCTGTGGGATTCTTCTGCCGTGGATTCCACCTCAGCTGGCTCTGCCCATCAGCTCCTCCCTGGCTTCCTGGCTGCAGACACCAGGTTGCCCTGACTTGTGCATCTCTGTGCCCTCAGGGAAGTGACTTACCCAAGGTCCTGTGGCTTGGTACACCAAAGGAGAAACGGAACCCAGGTCCCCCGAATTAACTCCCAGGCTGGCACTACTTCCACCGCAACCTTGCACGTTCTCAGTCCAGTTCAGTGTAGATGTGCTAGGAGAAAAAGACAGTCATTTTCTGTGTGTGTGTGTTGGCTGTTCCCACTGCATCGGGAACAGAGACGTATCACAGCAGAGGGGTGCAGAGGGTCAGAGGGCAAGAAGTTCTGGTTCACGCTCCACTGCTGTATCCACGGTGCCAGTCGCTCAGGGCAGACGCCTGTCTCATTCCTGCTTCGGGAAAATGGCACCCTCTGCAATCTCTGGGATGGGAGAACCCATGCCAAGACACCCACCCCCTGCCCACGCTGTGGAGAAATGGGCTCAGGGCAGCCTCCCGAGAGCCCTCCCAAAGCCCCACGGGCCTCTGCTTCCAGGGCTCCCCTGCCTCCCCACCCCCACTCTGACCATCTCCCAGGTTATTTTAAGGAAAGTTCCACAAGACAAAACCTCACTGGGACATTGATGTCTGAGGGTTTGGTTCTTCCTGCCTTCCACTGGAGCCTGGTTTTGAGGTCCTTTCGCTGAATCACTCAGCCCAAAGTAAATAAATACACGGAGGAAGGAAATCTCGCTCAAAAGGAATTCTGTTGTCACCTCTCCAAAAAAGTTACTTTCTGCAGGACCTGGCTTCTTGGGAATGAGACCTCACTCAGGGGGCACCCCCAGCCCCCTCTAAGAGTATGCAGAACTGGCTTCCCAGCCCCCAGGGCGAGCTGGTGGCATTTCTGCCTCTGGGTGGCCTGACCTTGCCACTGACCTTCCCCTCCCTTCCAGGGAAGAAGAACCCGGAGTGACCTGCCCTCAGGACCCAACATCCTGTGGATCTGATCAGCTTCTTTTGATGGGGGGTGCCCCCCCTTCCCGTGACCTGGGTTCTTCCCCTTCATGAAAATAAAATGACAGAGAATCCGCGATGATCCGACTGGTCCAGTCCCCTCACCCAGCCAATCCTGAGGCCAGGAGGGCTGCAGTGACTGGCCCTAGGTCACATGGCACCTTTGCGGCAGTGCCGAAACCAGAATTAGAGATGTGCTGCCCCCCCCCCCCCCCCAGAAATTGAACACTAGAATAGTCAGTGGAAACCCCTACTCTTCACCTCCGACCTTCAGAGGCCACCCTTCTCCGGATCCCATTGCCACGTACCCCAAGAGCTCCCCCTGGTAAGAGGTTACAAATGAAGGGCTTGGTGCGTTGGGAGAACAACAAGGGAGAACACCTTACAAAGTCTGCCCCCAGGACCAGCACGGGACCAGGTTGAAGTCTCCTGGCTTTCTTAAAGCACCTGCTCTCTTGACTTGCTCAAAATCCATCCCTTGCCTCACTTCCAGCCCAGCCCTTGAGAGTCCTGACACTCCCCTACGCCCATCTCCTCTCTGTCTGTCTTAACGCTGCCCTCTCTGGGTAGTGCGGATGTGGATTGGTCTGCACCTGGGGGAAGCTGACCCACGCCTCTGTCCATGGGGTGCCCTGAGTATCTCCTCTGTCAACCTCCCCATGGAGGGGGAAGGAACGACGGCTGTGCAAGGTTCCACCTCCCGCTCGCTTGGGGACCCTGGTGAGTTAAGTTGCCCTCAGCTCGCCCTGCTGTGAGAATGAGATTTAATGGCATAGTTTAGGGGAAAATAAAGCGCCAAGCAATTACTCAGTAATTGATTGCTTTCTCCTTCACCTGAACCACAGGGGAGCAGAATGGAGGTGGAGCCCAGCCTGGTGTTGTGTGGGGCTGGTGTTGTGTGGGGCTGGTGCGTGGTGTGCGCACAAAGCAGGCGAGCATGTGGCGACTGGGAACACCTCTCAAGAATCCCTGGATCTCAAGGTTGGCAGGAGCCACCTTTCCAGAAACTCATGGACATAGGCTAGTCAGAGGCAGATCTGAAACCCTCGTAGCTGCTCCATGATCCAGAATTCCATCCCAGACAGATCCCACCACGACTGCAATTTTCATCATTAACTGATAGCTGTGGACTCATTCCTGAGTTGACCATCTATCTGTCCACTCAGAGGGGATGGAAGGTTCAGGAAGGCTAAGTGACCTTCCCAAAGCCACACAGTGAATCACTGCATTTCCAAGCACTTGTTACACACCTACTGTGTCCCTGGTAGCCTGAGACATGCCTCGGTAAATGAAGTCACCTGCGCTCCTACTCTATAGCTCCTTCCATCCCCGCTTGCTTGCTGCCTCTCCCATCTGGACATCACAATTAAATACCAGGCTTGAGCAACAGGAAGATGTCAAGAGGTTGGGATACAAAGTTAGGAGTAAAGTTTAAACATATGGTCAATGGGCAGTGGTCCTCTATGGGCACAGTGCACCCCTTAGGGTGTAGTCTGGAAACTTCAGGAAGGCTATTGGTTGGCATTACTAGCAATGGGCACTGTGGGAGTGCTATGGTTTGAGTATGCCTCTACCCATCAAAGGTTCTCGTACTAGAATCTCCTTCAGCAGCGTGATAGTGTTGAGGTGGTGGAGCCTTTAAGAGATGGGGCTCAGTGGAAGGTGGTTAGGTCATTTGAGAGTGCCACCCTTGGAAGGGACGAATGTACTTCTCACAGGGTCCTGAATAGTTCCCATGAGAGTGGGCTGCTATAAAATGGGCAAGCCTGGCTCTTGATTCCTTCCGTCTTCCTGTCTTGCTATGTGAGCTGACCTCTCACACGTGCTGCCCTCATGATGCCACCTGCCAAGCTGTGATGTCTGTAGTCGGGAGGCCCTCACCAGAGCCCAGCTGAGACGGGCACCACACTCTTGAGTCTCCAGAACTGTGAGCTAAATCAACCTCTTTTCTTTACACCTGATCCAGCCTCGGGTATTTTGTTACAGCAACAGAAAACAGACTAAGACAGCACACATAGAGGAAGGGGCTAGGAATGCCCCTGGGGAGAGTGCACAGATGAGAACTGTCCCACCACGCGCCCAACAGACGAAAACCCATTTACACCCATCTGAGGTGAGAACCCAACTCCATGTTAAATTCAAACACAGAGCATTCGGGCTGGGAGAATTTGCAATATTCACTTTTTTCCCCCAAATATTTAACTGCCATAAATTCAGGGAAGATACCACTTTGTTTTATGTGAAACATTACCAAGAGTTGTCGACCATTTCCAAAAATTATGCCACTCAAGGTAACTCCGCTTTGGACATCTGAGCTGCTAGTGAAACATCTCAGCTCAGACTTGTAGCTACAACCTTTGTGGTCATTTTATGCATGAGTGCAAGCAGCAATTTTATTATAAATTATTTCTATTTGATTTTTTCTTTACATGAGAGCTGGGACTCTCGATTCTTTTTTTCTTTAGAAAATTGTGCATGTGTGTTAACTATGGATTTTACTTCAACCTAGCACAAAGGGAATCACAAGGTTTTTGTTATAGACAAGGGACTGCACGTGAGAAGGTCGGGGGGCACTGCAGTAGGGCCGGTGAAGGGTCGCCTACGATGGGACAGCTGTAGATTCTTTCTTGTCACACTGCTCAGGACAGAAAAGTGACATCTGTGCTATGGGACTTGGAGTAGACCTGGGGCATGAGTTCCTGAACGAGAAAGCTATTTGTCTTTAGAGTCTTTAGCTAAATGAATGGAAAGAATACTAAGGTTGGCATCAAAAGACCTGAGTGCAAATCTTGGTTCTGCTACTCCCTCACTTTGATAATGGGCAAAACTTCCTTGGCCTTTGGCTCTCCATCATAAACGGGGCCCCATGGACCCAAACAAGCTTATCTTTCCCTGTAACTTTTCCTGGTTCTAACACTGGTCTTCAAGGACTTCCAAGATCGCTTATGCTTCCAGAACAGTCATGGTGGGTGTGGGGGGCAGGTGGAAGTGAGAACAGCAACCGCCACCAAATGGAACTAGGGATTCCACCTTGGACAGAACATTTTATTTCTCCAAGCCTCCATTTTAGCTTTGGTAAAACAGAGATTGTGGCCGCCTTACCTCAATGCGGTCGGGAAGTCTGACAACATGGTATTTGCCAAAAGCTCCATAGCCCTCAGGAAACGTTTGATGTTAGTGTCCTTCCTCCAACCTCCCCCCTTCCTCAACTCCTCAGGGCCGATGTCCAAGCTCTGCCCCAGTCCTTGGCTCCCACAGCAGGGCTGTGGAAGGAGGGATCTGGAACCCCGCTGCGTCTCCACATCATGCTTGCACAGGGAACAGACTCGGGGAGCCCCTGCCTACCCAGGGGAGTTCCCGCCTCCCTGGCTGGGCCTGCTGTGGGGCCCGTGGGGAGAAACGTGACTCAGCCGGGGAGAATTTCTGGAGGCCTTTCTGGCCCTGACCCAAGGCTCCCCCAGCAGGAAATGCAGAGGGAAGCACTTTCTCAGCCTGGGGCCTCTGGGGAAAGGGTGTGGTCGGATGGAGACTCTGAGTGCGGCAGGTGCAAAGGCGCCGAGAGCAGAGTCAGTTCAGAGAACATCTGGGAACTTGCTTGGTTTGTGATGTGGATCAGAGTGAGGGCGAGGGAAGAGCCAAGGTGAGTTACCATGTTTGAGAAACCTGTGTATCTTGCCCAGAAGCGGAAGGTCTGTGGTCACAGAATAGGATGGCCCTGGGGGCTCTGGGATGGTTCAGTAGTCAATGATTGGGAGAATGACAGACATAAAGCGAAGAAGAGCAGGCAGAGGCACCTGCTGATGGACGGCCCTCTCCTGCAGCACCCCCTGTTGGCCGCCCGTGGCAGCAAGCCCTTCAGATGTAAGCTCTTCTTCATGGAACCCCGATCTGGGAGCCGTGTTCCTATTGAGGTGCCAGATGCCCCAGAGGCAATTCTATTTCAGCAGGAATCAAAACTTCCTGCCAAGGGAGTGCTTTGCCAGTGATCCCCAGAGAGATGCCCTAGGACAGGGGGAGATAGAGCCCCTGAGCCTGGGCCCCCCACCCTGAGTCACTGAGACATGGGCCTGCCCACAGGGATGCACTTTCTAGTGGACACCACAGCCAAAGGAGGGCAGGAGCGACTCCATTGATGACCCTGAACCTGTGAGTCAGGGAAGGGGAAGGGAGGGGACACCTCCTCCAGCCCAGGGAGGAGCAGGGAGCAAGGAAGGCTTCCTGGAGGAGGAGATGAGCACAAGAGTCCTGGAGAAAGACAGAGGCTGGTGTGCAGGCTGCGGGGCCTAACACACAGCGTGGGGACTGGAGTCGGTCACACCCCCTGTGTACTCAGCATGCGCTAACAGACTAGATCTTAGATGCTCTCATCACAGAAAAACGTGGATGTGAAGTGATGGGCCGTGAATTACCTGCTGGCCGTGCTCATTTCACAATGGGTATGGCTTCGAAACAGCACATTGTGCACCTTTAGTACATGCAGCTTTTATGTGCTAATTGTACCTCAAAGCTGGGGGGAAACATTAAAAATACCAAACAGGGGTCAGCGTTCGGCACAATGGTTAAGATGCCCCTTGGATGCCCACATCTCACATCAGAGTGCCCAGTTCGAGTCCCAGCTCCTCTGTTTCCTATCCCGCTTCCTGCCAGTGTGCACCCTGCTAGGCAGCAGGTGGCGGCTCAAGTACCTGAGTCCCTGCCACCTACACAGAAGACCTGGATGGAGTTCCTGACTCCAGGCTTCAGCCTGACCCAACTCTGGCTGTTAGGGGTATTGGGGGAGCCAGCCAATGGATGGAAGATCTCTGTATTTCTGTTTGACTTTCAAATAAAATGAAAATAAAGAAACATAAAACTTTTCATGCAAAAAGAATAAAAAGAAAGGGAACTGGCTGGTTGGAGAAGAGGTGAGGAGGAACAGCAGGATGGGGGGTCAGGTGCACCAAGCCCAAAGGTCCAGTGTACTCCTGCAGTCTGGGGCCTTCAAGTGGTCACGGCAGTGTTGCGGGGAGAACTGCTTTGGAGTCAAACCCATCTGTGGTCCAGTCACTGCTCTGCTACCTGCTGACCCTTCTAAGCCTTTAC